CCCGGCCCCGCTCCCGCGCCGCGCCGGGGCCTCGGCGCCAACCCCGCCCAGCTCCGCCTCCCGCGGCGCTCACCGATGGTGGAGATGAAGGTGGTGTTGAAGGCGTCCTCGCTGAAGCGGAAGAGCAGACAGGTCTTGCCCACGCCCGAGTCCCCGATCAGCAGCAGCTTGAAAAGATAGTCGTAAGTCTTCGCCATCTTCCTCGGCCTCCGCCTCCGCCTCCGCCTCGCCGGGCACCAACAGGGAGGGGGTGGAGGGAGCTGGCGTCACCGCTTCGCCCCGCCCACAACGACGACGCGACCAATGGCCGCAGATCGCTCCGTAACTCATCATCACGCGCCGGACGCGCGCACTGCCTGTCGGGAAATGAAGTTTCCGCGGTGAAGACCCGGCCGCTTCCAGGAGACTGCTGTGGCCGCGGCTGGGCGGAGGAGCTCGCCGGCTGCCTGGTCCGCGCTCCCCGGAGGACGCTCCACGGTGCTCGCGGTTTCGGAACCTGCTCGCAGCGGGACTGAGTCCCCACGGAGCAGCCACGCATTTCCCAGAGGCGTGAAGCGCTCTTCGCTGGCTGCTGAGCGGAGTGGGCTGGGACCGGGGGGCGTTCGTAGTCCTCCATCCCTGGACGGCGTGTGACGGAGGAGCCCTGCCTGCCCCCCTTCTCAGGGCGGGAGGGGGTTTTCTCGCTGCGGGGCGTCGGCTGGAGCGAGTCAGCTGCAGCTCTGGAAGCAGTTGAACGTCTGCATGTGCTTGGGGGAGCGGGAGCCCTGGGCTGAATCACGCCCCAGTGACAACTACAGCTCCTGCCCCAAATAGCTGATTGCATTTTCATATTGCTCATCCACAGGTCCCGGAGCACCTGAACGTTAGTTAGAATACCTGCAGCATCCATATACCCAAGCCTGACTCTGACTGCTCACAATCCACCAGTGTGGAAAACAACATATCAAAGACCTATGGGTCATGGTGCGCAGCAGCGTTACACAAAGCTCTGATATATCAAATACAGTCTACAGGTTTCCCTCACTATGCTGTACATGAGTTCCTGGAAAATGGCACATAAGTTGAATTTGCATCAAGGGAACCCACTTTACAGTGTAACAAATAGGGATACCTTTCCAAGACTTCAACTGTACTGACCCCCAGACCCATTTCTACCACGTTTAGAAGACAATTTTGGTACTTGCCAACAGCAGACTGTACACACAAGCATAGGGCACCATCATAATGGAGCAACTACAGAAACACGTGTTGCAGACAACAAGTGAGGAGCACAGATCCACACAGGAGTCTATATTTTTGTGCGCATCATTCCCACAATGCACCGTACAAAGCAGCTGACTGTAGGCTTCTACCACACCAATTGCATAAGAGTGAATTTACCTTGCATATAACGAATTTTTGGTATAAAAAGCATTATTACATAAGAGCGAATTCGTGCATACAGAACCCGCATAAAGCAAGGGAAACCTATATAAGTACTACAAGGACTGCTTGTGTTTTTATCTGCACGTTAAGAATACTATAAATAATGCTTGAAGAGGGTGCTCAGTCTCAGGCACATTAGCTATCTAAGAGTGCATTACTTTTCACACACTGAACATTTTTTTTAAAGAATCCCCTGGAACACTAAGCAGCAGTTTAATTTCTCAGATGCCAACTTTGAAACACCAAGGTGCAGAACATCAAAAATATGCCCCCCACACTCTCATTTATCAGATGTTAGTAATGTAACACGCTAATGAAATCTTTGTTTGCCACATGGGAGATAGAATCGTTGTCTGCCAACTAGGAGACCCGGATTCAATTCCTAGATGCACATAATTACAGCCACTGAGGCACTGAATGTCCAGGCTCAGTCTGGCCTTTAGATATTGTCTCATCAACAGTCTAAAGCCGGGAAGGAAGGTCTGGGCAGCCTCCACACTCCTGCCTAGGCAGACACATTGACAGTCCTGGTGACCTGTCACATATACACCATAATCCAAAAGGCTCACTAGTTGGCCACTACTACGTACCTATATAGCTCTGATATTACCCATAAGCATGATTTCTCAACATACTGGCCTTTGTTCTCTTACATAACTACTCTAACCATTACTTGATATCCAAGATTGTATGCAGACACACATGAATGCTGGGTTTAACGCTTGGAAAACTGGCTGGCAGCTGCAATCAAAGGGTCTGATCTTGTGAGGTACTGGGATCAATTTTGCACTGCCAAATATTAAATCCTGCATGTTGAAATCTAAGTCTGTGGGTGTGATCAAATATTGGGATGTTCAAGTGAGGTAAGTTGTAGTCTGGTAAATAAGGCACAACACTATGCTTCAGCTAGATGTATATAATCTATTGGTGCCAAAAGAGATTTAGTGAAGGCTGCTTGAATTTTGGCCCCATCTTAAGTGGTGCTTGGTCAGTTCAAAGTAAGAAAAAAACCCATTGTTTTCAGAACATAGAGATTATTTTTTCAAAGTCTCAAGTATTGTTAAAACACAGTAGTATTTTTATACCTTTGTATGCATGGACCTCTCTCCCCACCATTTCATATTTACAGTTTTTTGGGAATGAAGCAGTATGATTATGTATTTCTAGCCGCATCTTTCATTAATATTTCAAATGTATTTATTTCAAATACATTTCTCAAAAATAACACATTTATGCCATCAATTTAAAACAATGGAAAGAAGTTACTGCTTTAATTTAGCTTACAAAACAAACAAAGCAGGCTTGAGGGACAGAAAAAATAGATTTCCACATCACTAAGTTGTTAAGACATACTGTACTCTTTTCATGTGAAAAGTTTCAGGAAAAGCACCTTGGGGCAGCTGGCTCCAAACCAGAGCTGTCCAACTGGTAGCCCTGTGGCCACATGTGGCCTGTTAAAGGTTATTGTGCAGTCCCAGGCTCCCACTCAGCTCCACCACCATCACTCCAGCTGCAACAGTGGCTAAGGTCTGCAGGTTCCCCCTCCCTCCTCCCTCCCGCTTGCAATTTCTACCCCTAGCCCCTGGTGCACCTGTAGCCTGGGACCCCACCGCCCCACCCATGCAGTTCAGTGCAGTAGAGGAGTCCACAGCTCAGGAGCTGAGCATGAGGGTGTGTGGAGGTCTCTAGCCACTTAGAAGTTGAACAGCCATGCTCCAAACAATTCCATTAGGGGATTGCCCACAGGGGAAGAGACAAGCTGCTGCAAGATTCCACTCCCAAGCACGCCCTAACTTCCCTTCCCATTGACAAAGCAGGACTCCTAGTACCCTTGTTAAAGGACAGTAGTGTTCAACGGTAAAGTTTAACTAAGCTCTAAGTGAGGATTCCACAGTACCACATGTCCATATGGTCTCCCAACACAACATTCTCCAGGTCTCTGTGGGTCTAAGTATATGGTGAATGGGATTGGGGCCACAAGGATCCCTCAAAATATATGGTGAATGGGATTGGGGCCACAAGGATCCCTCAGGTATATGGTGAATGGAATTGGGGCCACAAGGATCAATCACAGGTGCCAAAAGTAATCTAAAACATGTTTAAAGTGGTCAGTTTGGACAAAACCAATTACCTGTTTCTGAAATCAATAGTAAACCCAAGATGCACGGTGCTAAAAGTTCGGCCATACCAAGACAACTACCAGACATCACATACGCCAAATATTTAATCACTTTTTCATATTAAACTATCATTTGACAGGGGAAATGTTGGAGTCTTAAAATAGAGCTAAAATACTCCATCATCTACCTAACTATAGGATTATGAACTGCAGCATATGGTCAAGATATAAATGAACAAAGAATAACAGGAGTTAAAATCACCAAAAACCCCCCAACACAAACCTAAAAAACCATGATCAATGATTCCAGATCTTTCCTGTTTAAGTAAAGATTGCAGCATGGTGATATTACTGACATAGTAAAAGAATGTTATAATTTCAAACTATGAACCCAAATCTGATCATTATTGATGTTAAAATATCTACAAAGTTGGTAGTCTAGTTCAACAAACACTTGTGTGTGTCACATTTCTGATTTACTATGTTAGATTTAATTTTGTAACATTACGTGACCTCCATGACTCAGTACCATGTCAGCAATTTGAGTAGAAATGTAATTCTGCTCATGTGACACTGGAGGGAGATCAGGATGTCATCTGGAAAGCAAAACCAATAAAGCAGAACAAGATATTTTCCCTCATAAGAGCTACAGTTGGTTCAGACTGAAATTCTGGAACATGTTTCTTAATTTGTTTCTTCCAGTGTCAGTTATAGTTGGGGCTATTTGTGTGCCATTAAGATGGCCTGTTAGACTAGTTATTATAAAATAAGAATATAAATGATGCTGACAACCTAATCTTGTACTGAAGCAATAAAACCAAGATTATTTTAGACTGGCATGAATAATAAGATTATGTGAAACTTCTAATTAAAAACTAACTACTGAAGATTTTCCGTCCATTTTTATTTTCAGAGGTCTGAGTGGTTCCATCACTCAATTATGGCCCTTTTTAAGATGACCACAGCATTTTATTTCAGCAATGACGAGTAATTTGGGGGTTAATATTTACCAGGGTTTTTATGGAGCAGACAGGCTTCCATATGTCTCTGGAGCAATACGTTTGTCTTCACCATCTGCTATGCAAGAGTAGTTTTATGGAACAATAAGGCAAATCCCGTCATTCTTTAATTACTCTAGTGCTTTGCAATACTGTACTCTGTTTGGAACTGGAAAAGCACCAATCTGCCAGACTCTCAAGACAGATGTTTACTTAGCCACCAACTTAAAAATTACTTTAAAAATAAGACATGGATTCAAACTGGTATTTACATTTTTTCTTCCTCTGTTTAATATATAAAACATGCTACTGTACAAACTGTAATCTTCACAAGGCTCTCTAATGATATTTGAAGGAACATTATCAAGGTAGATGGGCCTTAGTAATCAACTTACTATGATGTTTGCCCCATAAAGATGCTAGTCTGTGATCTATTCTTCGCCAAAGCACTGTATTGAAAAAAGAAAATTTGTTGTGTGCCACATTCTAGGCAAATGTGAACATGTTTTTTCTATCTAATACAAAATATGTCTGTTAACTAACAGGAAACCATAGGGTGGTTGATACCATAGAGCAAGGGCGTGCAAAATAAAGCCTGGGGGTCACATCTGGCCTGTCAGGCCATTTTATATGGCCTGCCAGGACCTTCTAAAATGTAGATAATTATTACCTGCTGGTGGCTGCCTGTCTGAAAGCCAACAAAGCACTGGTAGCGTAAGTCATCAGCTGCAGAAGCAAGCAGTTCTGGCTCTGGTTGCAACCCAACCAA